GCCCACCTCATCCAGACGAGGCTCTGGCTCCCCCTGAGCTCACGGGGTGGCCGTGGCGCACACGCCAGAGGAAGCCCAGGTCCTCGAGCCCTGCTGCCGCGGACAACTGCAGGTGGGGGTCATCTCACAGAAAGCGGGGGCGGGGAGCCTGATTTTCAGAATCTAGATTTTGTTTACAACCAGGATGGTTAGACTGGGTTCGAGGCAACCGGGAGGTCCTGTTCTTTTTGTGGGGCCAGGATTTCAAGATCTCCTGCTCCGTTACCTTGGGTGGACTTTGGTCTCTTCTCGGCCTTTATCTCGATTACCAAAGAATGCAGAGATTAAGGGTCTTGAAAACAGACAAAGGCTTCTCTCGAAGACTGAGCACTAAGACTCCCAGTACTTTAAGCACCTCTGCTCTCCCTGTTCCCTCCTAGACTGAGTCTCCCGGCCCCCAGCACCCTCTCAGGAGCTGGTAGTGGTTGAACTATTCCGGCCTCCTGCAGCTCCTGGTCATGCCTGTTACTGCCTTTCAGCATCACCTGCCATCAGGACATTCATAAGGGGTCAACCTAGGGATGGGGTAAAGGGGAACCTATCACTCCTTGACACCTTTTATCCCAAAGGAGCTTAATGGCAAGTGAGAGTCAGGTATTATAAATAGGGAGTCGACATGATTCTGTTGAATCACTAACGTCCTGTCTGTCCGCCACAGCTGTGGAGAATTAAGATTTGCTTTCTTTTAGAAAGCCCCAAATGAGCCTCTACCTCTTGACCAAGACATCTGGAAGCCAAGCTGCAGGCCCTAAAATTTTAATTTAAGATCAAAATGACAAATTACAATTCCCAATTCCTTTGAAGAGCCATAAAGAGCTAACTCAAAGCCCTGACCCACATCCATTCTTCTCCAGCTCTGGATGTCCATGGGGGTGGGGGTGGGGGTCAGCTCACTCAGCGTTGGCATGCCAACCTATGCAAGCACATGACGACCTAGTGGGGACACTTGCCAGGAACTCATAGGCCAAATACACACTGACCGGTCAGGATGAGGCCCCCAGCCCACTGCCTGGAGTTCCCTAAAATCTACAGCAAGATTTCACAGTCACAACAAAGGACCCAAGCCACTATTTTGTAAGTGGTGAAGTCCCGGTTGCCTTTCTTATGCTGAAGATCACACTGAATGGTCCTAATCGGGAAGTTCAAGAGATACAAGATCAGAACTGGAACTATCAGTAAAGTCACTGGCATATCTATATGTACTAGAGCCATACTCCCCTCCCACACCCACCCAGGACCCTTAAAGACACATGTTTTGCTGGGTTGGAAAGACGTGGAAGGAGGAAGGACTCTGAAATGCTAACAAGTAGCACTGGAAGCAGCAAAGGACTCCTTCCAAAGGACAGACAGGGTCTTGAAGGCTCGCTGGTTCGCAGACGGTTGGCAGCGGTGCGTGGTGGCAACAAAAACATCAAGGATGAAAGAGGCCTGAAGATCACCGAATTTTACACGAATTGTTAAAAGTGGCAGAAAAGTTCCCAAACCCTCATCTGCCAAAACCAAGAGCAATTCCAAGTCACAGCGTTGGCAGCCAGGGGATTGACATGGCATGGCTGAGAACCTCAGACTCACATCGTGTTAACAACTCCCTCTGCAGTAAGGTCCGGAAAGATCCTGGGAAATTAGCTCGACTGGTGTCTAGAGCTTCCACATGGAACCTTCCCTCAAGGACGTTTGTGCACAGTCCTGGTAGTGAACTGGCCAGGTGGTATCACAGGCCCCCAGAAGATGAAGCAATGAACCGCAAGAGAAAGTTACCATAAAAGACGGTGAATGGAAGCCACTAGAAAGATGGGAGCTAACAAACCCGAGGGCAGGCTGGCGCAGGGCAGTAGGGTGGTGGAACTGGAGGCTGAGAAAGAACTGCCAGATTCACTGGAATCCCCAACGGGCTGCACAGCACGGCTTGGACCATGACTCGTAAAACATGTGCAAAAGTGATCAACAATACTGTCCAGATGAGATCCAAGCCGCTGGAGAAATGCGACACAGCCAACACCCGTCATTCACTGGGAGCAGACAGCTGCAGAGAAGCAGGGGCAAGTGAAAACCATCCAGGGAGCCTTCGATCCAAACCCACACTTCGGTGCATGTGTTTGCAAAGTCCGCCTTGAAGGCCAATGCAGACGTTCGAGCAGATTCTGGTGGGCGGTGGGGAGGAGGCCGACGGGGCTCTTGGCCTTTCCCTCGCTGCGGACTTGCCCTGTCGGCCCAGGCATCTGCAGCTCGGTTCCAAAAATAGCCGCACATTTCCCTGCCATGTTTCACCCCGATGACAGGCAATTTGATGGATTATGTTCACTTCTCTGCCCAGATGCAGGATGGTCTCTGATGGGCTTCCGGTGGTGGTTGTCTCAGCGGAGAAATATTAATTCCCTGGGAGCACTCTGTGGAAGAAGGGGGGCAGCAGAGGCAAAGTAATCTCTTCCTTCAAACTTCCAGAAGATTTCCAAAGGGAAAGTCCTGCCTCGGGTCACACCAGAGAGGACAACTTTCTGTCTCAGCTGCGGCTCCCCGCTTCACGAAGGTGGGCAACATCTGGTCCCACGGCGGCTTGGCACAAACCAGACAACCCATTTCTCTGCGTAGCAGGCTGTCTTTCTAGAAATCCTTTCTCCAGGAGCAACCTCTCCCCTTGTACGTCTGCTCCCATTAATGGCAAGGATGAATAAGGAAGAAAATGCCAAATATCTAAAGTAGCACTTCCGTGGGCCCGACCTGAGCAATTTCTCGACCAGCTTCAGAGGGTCTTTGAAGACACTAAGAGGGAAGGAGGGTCCTTCCTAGTAACACTCTCTTCGGGGGTCTGGGCCTTTGAAGGAATGAGGCCAGAGGTTCCCGTTATGAACTCTCTTGTCCTAGTACCGCGGGAAGGAGCAAAGCATATGGGCAAGGACCAGGCTGGGAGGCGGGGGTGGGAGGACCAAGAAAGAGCAGATACGCTGGCCTCTTAATACACGTTCGATTAACTTTCATATTCCTATTTAATAAACTTGTCAAATGCTAATTTTAAAAAAAAAAGCTGAAAGAGACATGGAAAAAGAATAGTTGGATGATCCTGGTAAAACCCAAATCAGAGACATGTTTTTCCAATTACAAAATCTGTTGTGTGTACTTGGGGGAGGGGGTGTTGAATAAATCAAGTGAAATTTCAATTTTAAAAAAGCAATCAACATTTCAAGAGCTGCCTTCGTGTCTGGGGCCCCAGCGCCAAAGCGACCGCAGTTCATTAATGAATCGACGCCCGCCACGGGCAGCCTCCTTCATCGCGCCCTGAAGGGGAACGCGGACATGAAGGCCTCTCTTTAGCAGGCTTCCTCAGAGGCGAACAAAGGAAAGCAATCATTTCTTCTTCTTCTTTCTTCTGTTTTTAGTGGTAAACACGGGAACACCCACGTTGCACGACGCTTCCAAGAAACACGAGGATGACAAAAGCAGCGAAATGTCACTCACACTGGGTGGTGGATCCTCTAGCTCTACAGCTCAGTTACTCGTAAGAGGGATGGCTTAGTAGGTCAGAACCTAAAACGGAGGTGCCTCTTCCCAAAGAGAAATGGAGCACTCTGGAAAGCTGCGTGAAGTCTTTCTGGCCGCTGACGAGGACACTCTTAAATAGTCACCTGGTAGAACTGGTGCATCTTCCAGAAGCATCTGACATCCTTTCTCGGGTCCTAACATATGCCCTGGGCACCTGCTTCCTACAACTGGATGCAACTACTCTGGGCATTATGAGGGACCAGATCAAATACTTATTTAACCCCAGCAAACCGACTGAGTGTGCGTCATCCCCACTTAAAAGACAAGTAACCCGGAAGCTAAAATAGGTTTGCCCAACGTCACGGAATAGTAACAAGGGAAGCAACATCTCTGACTGCAAATCCCACCGCAAATCTTCAACTTCACGCTTGAATCCTGGGCCAACTCAACACTCAAGATGACCCAGGACTTGTAAGCCTTGGCTTTAGAGCAAGATGCATCTCTCTGAATTTGGTGCCTACTAGCGATGTGAGCTGATATCAGGAAGCAACACCTGCTCCCTCCACTTCATGTTTTGATGAGTGGACTTCCATATCCCTTTCTAGTAAGACACAGCATGGGGGGAGGGGGAACACCTCTGAAGGACTACTGAATTGACATTCAAGCAGTAGGATTTCTTCCTCTCTCTAGTCCTTGGAACCTGCCTGTTTGGGGCAGGATGAGGCTGACCCCATTCCCTAGCTCAGAGGTGAGCACCTGGCCTCAGCCTGGTTTTCTACAGAAGCTACTACCACGAAAGAGATGTTCTCTTCTGAAGCTGAGGTTACCAAGTGGGATAAAATCCTGGGACTACCGGTTGCCTCCACCACACAGAGATGATGGTCTTTCTGAGAATGCCACCAATAAGGGAAAACAGAAGAAGAGAAGGCAAGGTAGGTCACACTGTGTGAGCCCATGAATCTAGCCAGGCCTAAGATAGAATCCACAACTTCCAGTTCAACGCACCAATGAAAACCGGTCGGAGATGGTCATCGGAGCTGAGTTTCCATCACTTTCAGCCAAGAGCATGGACAAGTACGAGTCCATCTCACACAAATACACCACGTTTGTTTGTATGCCACAGCCTCCCAGGAGTGACACAGCTAGAAGAAAATCTAGGTGTTCTCAGGACCTTTGTGTGAATGAAAGAGGAGTTGGAGAAATCTCATCAAACAGAAGGACGCTCTTCTAGAAAACCAGATGCTCAGGTGTCTGGCCTGCAAACTCAGTCCCCGGAGAACAAACATCCCCTTCTGATGGCTCTAGGAACCCTTCTAGGTAATTGGTGGCTGTGATGAGGCGCCTGTAGGCCTTTGTAGTTCTGGGCAGAAGCCAGGTAACAGCTGACACCATCAGCACATCCTTGTTCTCATTGAGACCTGAGTGCTAACCAGGCTTCCTTTCTGGAAAAAAAAAGGGGGGGGGGCGGCTCCACCCAAACCTACCTGAGGCGCTGGAGACCCGTGACACATCCTGGGACTGGGTAGAGCGATTGCGGCTCTGCTGGCGGCGCCGACCGGGGGCCGACCTTGTGGTGCGCACGTGGACCTCACTCACTTTGAAGAAGGCCACCATGAAGGGCTGCTTGTCGTAAGGCCCATCTCTGCCCACCAGGCCTGCGGCTCGGGGGTTGATGGGGAGTCCTTGAATGCAAACCACAAAACTGGTCTTCAGTCCATGGAAACTTGTTCCTATAAGCTGCATAGCTGAGCCTCCCTCACTGCCCAGGTGTCAGCCACAAAGAAGGAGCGTGAGGGAAGAGCACTAGGCCTTCTCAGAGCCCTGCTGCCTCCCTTTGGATGGGCAAAATCAAAACACTCCTTCCAAAGCTCCATGAAACCAAAGCAAGGACTGGTGTGAACTCCCAGGCCCTCCCATTCCTGAAAGGCTTCCTGATGCAACCGTTCTTTTCTGATCATATGCCTCCCAAACAGGGAGGTGACTGACTTCACAGGCAGTGTGTGCCCCGTCTGAGGACCTGTGTGGGGAGTCTGAGCTGTTGAGCTTTGGTGCTGGGGGAGTAGGGGGTGCTGGAAGGGTTTCTGTGCAAACCCCCCCTCCCCGGCTCCCCACCCCAGCCAACAGTCAGAATGTAGCCTGGCCTCCCCTGCCTCTGTGAGCGGTCTTCCCATTGTTACTGGAACTCAGACCATCTACTTATCTCCAGTCCTTCCTGGAGACCTCCAGGAAAGATTTTGCTTTTCAGTAGCAGTTATGAGGGAACAGTCAGTGAGGTCACCCCAGAGCTGTGGTCTCCACCGGAAACCATGGCTCTATCCTAACTGTTGGAGAGGAAATGGAAGAAAACTGTTGGCTGATTTTGGCAAACTTACCATCCCGAGTCACCACGCTCAGCTGTAGCCCCATGTTGTGCTGTGGGGTCACGACCCACAGATTGCTAGTGGCTGTGATGTCAAATTCCAGCCAGCCTTCTTCTGAGGCCCACACCATGCGGGTGTCCAACAAAAATAGGTCAGAGTCTCTGAAAGAAAGAAAAGATGGTGTGGTGAGTCGCGTGCTGCCCTCCCGGCCCACCCTCTCTGTCCTGCCTTGGCGTTAGGATGAAAACACCAACGTTGGGTTACGTGCACACAGGAGGAGCCACGCACAGTGCCCTACTGCAGCTCTGGCTCGCATGACACACCGGACACATGCATGGCATGATCTGGAGAGGAATACATGCTAGGGAGCTTCACAGAAATGAGTTTTCTCCCCAAAATACATAGATCTCTCAACTTCATCAAAGGTTTTGCTATGGCTGTTCACGCCAAGTCTTTCTTGGAAATAAGGAAGGGAGGGCAGGAGGAAGAAAGTAAGTCATATTGTTGTTTACTTTATGGTAAACTAACTCTAAAAAAAGAGCAAGGAGGGGTGTGAGGGAAAGGATTGGGAAAATATTAAAATCAGGATTCATATGAGCAAAAAAAAAAAAAAGGGGTGTGCTTTGTTCATTTTTTTCTTTTGTAAAATGAGGACCCGACAATCTTCATATGTTAGTTCCTGTGAAATAAGGAGAATCAAGAGGCCACATCAAATCTGTGAGTAATCATCAGTTCCTTGCTTTTAATTACGGCCTTTGAGCAGTCCATGCTGAGTGTGGGCTCCTTTCTTGTGTGGACGGTGTAGCTGTGGGTGGATGTTGAGTGATTTTAAAGTTCATCCCGGTGCAGCTATGAGCCATGGCTGGGCTTCTTGTAGGAAAACCTGGAATCCATTCTTTCCACTGGGCTCCAAAAGGAGTAGTTTTACGTATGTATGTATTTCTTACAGTTTTCAACTAACATAACCCTGGGAGTTGTGGGAAGATGGATGAAGGTTTCTTCCCACTCATGCAACACTTCATGATAGAGCAGTGTTAGGGGACAGTCCCCTTCGTGTGTTTCAAGGACACTCTGAATCTGAGCTGACATCCCAGGGTCATGGGCATGAAATGGCCAGGCACTCCCAGGACAGGGAAGGGCACCATTTTGGCCATGGAAAGATTGAAATCCTCGGGTACCATCTTTTACAGGATAGAAAAATTACTAGAACCCTGCATCATTAGGATGAGCACTGCAATGCAAACACCGTATGTTGAAATTGGTTATAAAGCGCTCTTGTGCACTTCGTTCTCCTATCAACGATCCTGAGAGATGGTTGAGGATCACGATCCCCACGGGACGGCTGGGGAATCGGACTCATCCTTGAGGTTGTAGCCGTGCAACTAAGATCAAAAGCTGGTAAATGAAAGAGCTAGCTAGTTAAAAGCAGCAAGCATGTCCAGTTTTCCGTACTGTGCCCCTGCTGTTCGAGATTGTTAAGAAAGGACAACCCGTGGCAAGGGAGTACAATTTCTCTCTGCCCCATCAAATCTTCGTGAGGCCAGTGAGATGTTGGGAGTCAAAAGTCTTAGATTTCTGAGGGGAAACAATTTTTCCTGTTTACGTGGCTTAGAGTTAGAAGGAAACTCTACCGTCATCTTTTCCAAGCTTAAAACAGTAGGTACAGCTAAAAGGAGTTTACTCAGCTGCCGACCAGAGTCTGCGGGGGGCCACATGCGGGCCTGCCATCTTTAAAGCACTCCCCGACGTGCATGTGTCATACCTCCTGTTGAAAAATTACCCCCCAGGCCCTAGGTAACTGTGAGCAGGGAGACAGGGGGTGTTCATAGAAAACAGCAAGAGCGGACTGCAAGTCCAGAGCTTTGAAGTGAAGATATAAAAAGACATAAATTCTCTTCTGGAAGGTTGGAGAAGACCCTCATCCAGGAAAAACACAGACATGACGAACAGCACTGTGGGAAAAGGAGCCCTGGTCCCCCGGCAGGGCAGGCACGTCCTTCTGGCACTCTCTAGAATGAGAGTCCAGGGCGCCAAGCTGCCCCTGAGTGAAGGGGGTCACTCGTCGCTGTTTACAGAGCTTAGGTGACACACCTGTGCACCTGGCAGACAATTCTTAAAGACTTGGCACGAGGATGCAGAAAACTACAGTCTGAGATAGGAGGGCGGCGGAGCTGGTACAAAGAGCTAGAATGAACTTTTATTTGGAAAAAGTAGGGTCTATGAAGAAGGAAATGGGAGTCATTACAGGAGACAGTGTGGGGCAGGGTGGAAGTCCATTGTCCCACAAAGGAGAGAAAGCAGAGAGAAGGAGAAAAGGGCATGGATCAAAGGGGAAAAGACAAACCCCAAGTTAATCTTGGGATAAAGGCGGAAGGCTCTGAGGGGAGGAGGATTAGCAATCGGGAGGTGGAAGGGATGCAAGCCACAAGGCGAGTGGGGACGCGTAGATGCGAGCGGCCTGGCTTACTGTCCTGCCTGCTCCTGAGTCACGCTGGGTCCCTGGGCACCTGTGCTGCTTCTCCACCTCCGTCCCTGGCTGGGCAATGGCGAGCATGCTGGTCCTCACTGCTCAGGGGACCAGGGGGAAACACACAGGCAATCAGATAGCTGAGCCCGGAAAGACGAAAAAACTGGCTCACCAGCAGTGAGGCAGCCTCAAATTTTGATGCTCATTACATCATCTAGGAGGCTCGGGTCCATGGACGGAAGGAGAGGCAGAACATGCACTTAAAATAAATGGACTAAATGGAAGAGAAGCAACAAGAGTTACTGTGTTACTTCCAACATGCGGGATGCCCCAAGAGCCTCGCCTTTATTCCTTGGGGTCCACAGAGAGCCAGATCCTCTCCCCGTCTCTCTTCTACAGCTGAGGGCATGGAGCCCACAGAGCTTAGGTATGTGACCAGAACGTAAAGTCAGAGCCTACGCTCTTAGCCACCACATATCTAAAAAGCAGAGTCCAGAAAGGCCCAGGGAACAGGTTGAAAATACTTAATGAGGGCTCAGAAGGAGGTAAGCGATCAAATCTACTGCACATAGATGCCAACATCAGCTGGATACAGAACCATGTTAAGATACTCAGAGCTTGGGGCAGCCCCGGTGGCTCAGTGGTTTAGGGTCGCCTTCGGCCCAGGGCGTGATCCTGGAGACCTGGGATCGAGTCCCGCATCGGGCTCCCTGCATGGAGCCTGCTTCTCCCTCTGCCTGTGTCTCTCATGAATAAATAAATAAAATCTTAAAAAAAAAAAAAGATACTCAGAGCTGGCACAAGATCAGAAATCACGAGCAGGTTCTCCTATCCGGGCCAGGGTAGGAAGGGGCGAAAGATACATGCAGGAAGGGACCAAAGATGGCTGTGACCTGCTGTTGGAACTCCAGTGACCTTCCCAGTCTTGCTCTACTCCTCCTCTCATGCAGAAGATCTCCCCATCTAGACTGAGAACACTACCGACATGCATTCACAGCCAGGGTGAAGAACTTAAAACAAAAAAAATTACTTCTTTAAGGAGCAGCCTCTTTGGCTCAGCCTCAACGCTCCCAATAACACAGGTATTTAGGAAATACTATTTATGGCAAGTCACTGAAATGGAGTGGGACCAACTGATACCTATTTACTTGGCATCAATGACCTGCAGCCTGCCCAGTCTCCTGTGCAAGTACAGCCTCCAACAGGATGCATCTGATTCTGCCAGGTGAAAAACACAGGGATTCCCTTCTAAATCTGACTTCAGCAGACTCAAGGCCTGTTGTTCTTTCTAAAACATGTGTTACCAATGGATAAAGAATCCTAGGGTTTGGCCAAAGTGACCACCATGACTGGATTACTTGGCTCTTTCTCTTGGGATGACTGACATGCTCAAGTTCATATACCATGAAAGAAAATTCTGAAACAAGACAGAGAATTCTGAAACAATTTACTGACTGTTTTGTTCTCTACCAACTCACAGAACCCCATGTTTCATGATGAATATGCATTCTATCTTCGAGGATACAACAATTTTATTTTCGGTGTTAGCCCACTTGAGGTCATTAGATCTTCCTGGGAAAATTAAGTTCTTAACAATTAATAAGCCTAACAAGGGATGTCTGGAAAATCTAGAAATTTCTAGAAAATTTTACGAAGTCACCCTGAGGCTAGAATTGACTGACCAGCAAGTCACTCATAGTAAGACTTGTAGAACTAGTGTTTTGTGGTCAAGGTCACCCCACCTGGTCTCTCCTAATACAAGCTCCCAAAGCCCCCGCCCTTGCAGGCGATACTGCATCAGGCTGAGAGGTAGAAAGCAGCATGGCAAACACAGTGGGTCCTTTTTCTTTTCACCCTCGAAGAAGAGCAGGAGGTATCCGAGCTCCTAGTGGCTGGCTTTAGTCTTTCCTGACAAATGGCACCCATTAAGGTCACACTGCCCTAGACAAAGTGCCACTCTGCTTACTACTGTTTTATTAGAAAGAAATGTTCTTGATCAAGTGAAATTTATATGCTTGAAGCAAACAGATTTATGAGATGTTTGATAAGGTGAGCCTGTTGTCTTCTTCCTTTATGTCTTTACAACATCCCTTTGCAGTACGGCTGGACTTCACAGTAAACTAAGATATGAAACAACTCCCATCAAGTGATGGACCTGCTTTATGCAATGAGGCAAACTTAAATTTCAAAAAGAACGGAAGCCAAAAGCCAACCATTTTAGAAAATTAGATAGTAAATAAAGCAAGCGGTTTTACTTTCTTCTTATGTAATATATCATATACAGAGGATTATAAGTTTAAACTTTTACCACTAAAAGGAGGAAAGAATAGGATATTTGAAAACAGAGCACTACAAATCACGGTAAACTGCTACACACTCATGGATTTGAGTAATAAGAGTGAATGCACATTATTATTATATAATTAAGCTCTCACTGATGTTATGCCTCTCAGTATTAACCAATATTCACCTCAAGGACTAGCAGGGTATAAAGAGATGGTTTAAATATCAAAAACACCTTAACTCTGTAATGACAGATTTCATCTTCAACAAACGGATACAAATCCGTTTGCTGACACAGTATTAACCTAGCGAGCCCTTACTTGGTGTTTACTACCTGGATGCTTTTCCATATGCTAAGTCCTCACAACCACCATAAGAGGTAAATACTATTAATGCCATCACAGGCTTACA